AGGGTCAGGGCTGAGAGGGGTGGGGCTGCAGGGGCAGCTGAGGCGCTGGGGAGGTCGGAGGAGCTTCCTACCTGTGGGGGAGACAAGGGCTGCTCCCAGCTCTGCTCCTGGCCTTCCTGCCCAGTTTGGATTCCAGAAACACCTCTTGGTGCCTCCGTTTTCTCATCTGGGGTGTGCGTGTGTGTGTTTTGTAGATAGGGTCTTGCTCTGTCACCCAGGCTGGAGTGCTGTGGTGCAATCATGGCTCACTGCAGCCTCTACCTCCTGGGCTCCAGCAGTCCTCCCCGCTCAGCCTCCTGAGTGGCTGTGACCACAGGTGCACACCACCTTGTCTGGCTAATTTTTGTTTGTTTGTCTGTTTTTGTAGAGACAGGGTCTGCCTGTGTTGCCCAGGCTGGTCTCAAACTCCTCAGCTCAAGCGTTCCACCTGACTCAGCCTCCCAGAGTGCTGGGATTACAGGTGTGAGCCACCTCGCCCGGCCTGGTTTTCTCATCTGTAAAATGGGTTGACAATGCTCACCCCAGAGAAAGGTGGTAAGGACTCCTGAAACCACGTAGGAGGCACAGGCAGACAGGCACTCGTGGGGGTCCATGAGTGAGCCCCAGCACCAGCTCCCCCAGGCCAGCTTCCAGTCTTCACACGGTCTGGGCCAAAGGAGTCTTCCTAAAACAGAGGACTGTGTGGTATGCTTCTCCACTAAGAAACCTCTTCCCTCAAGTCAGTGACACTGTCCTTCAGCCCCACCCGATTGCACGTGCCCAAACTCATCACACCTTTTCCCAAACTCTGTCCGTCTGGAAAACTCCTACTCACCCTGCAAAACTCCATGTGAGATGCCCACTCTCCCATCTAAAATACCTCACAGGATTGCTGTAAGAACCAAATAACATACATGTGTGAACACATGGGTATCGTTGCCAAGTGAGGGGTTGGCACTCATGGTTGTCCCTGGTACTTATTAGAGCAATCATAACGAAGGATGCAGCGGTGGGCAGGAAGTACCACTGGGGATAGGAATGAGCAGGAAGTTTTTCTGACTTGGAACTTAAGCCCAACCTTGGCAAATGGTAGAATTTTCAGAGAAGAAAGGAGGAAATTGGAGGCCAGTGCGGCAGTGTTAAATGTGGCTGCAAAGTTCTTGGTCCTTCTCTCATTGAAGGGTGGGCCCTATGGCCTCTCCTCTTGAATCCAGGTGGGCTTGTGACTACTTCAACCAAGAGAATTCGGCAGAAGTGCTGAGGGGTAACTCTCAAGGTTCACTCATAAAGGCCATATGGCTTATAACTTGGAGTCCTAAGTTGCCATCTAAGAAGGAAGTTCAACAACCTGAGACCTCCATGCTGTGAGGAAGCCCAAGCTCCATGAGGAGTCACATGGGGGTATGCTGGTTGACAGTTCCAGCCTTCTAGCCAGCCCAGCCCAGGCACCAGCCATGTGAATGCAGAAGCCATCTTGGAAGTGGATCCACCAGCCGCAGGTGTCCCGGCCCCCAGACATCTGAGTTGTCTCTGGTGGGGTACAGAACTGACACAGCAGAGTGTAGTTGTCCCTACTGTGCCCTTTCAGAACAGAATTCCTGAGCGTACTAAAGTGGCTGCGGTTTTAGTCACTGTTTTGGGGCTGTTCGTTTGGTAGCACTAATTAACTATAACAGGTGAGAAGATCAGAACTTCCTGGTACTTAAAGCCAGCCCCTCGAAGCAAGGTTGTCCCAACCTGGGAGTCAGTCCCAAGATCAGGTTCTCCCCACTGCTCTCTGCGTTCCCCAGCCCAGCCTGGCCCATGAGCAGTGCTTGGGACAGGAAGTTGCTGGAGCACTCCTAAGCCACTCCCCACACCTGGGAGGAGCCTTCCCTGTCAGGCTCGCAGGGGCTTTGCAGCTTGGATGACTGTGGACCCAGAAGCTCTGGGGGGTGATCCAGGTTTTCTGTGTCATGACTATCCCTCTGTGCCTCAGTTTCGCTACCCATGGAATAGGGCACAAAACTCATAATCTCTCTGACCCCACTCAGCTCCTACCCCACGTCCCGAAGGCCTTGTTCATTCTCACGTGTGTCTCCCCCACGTCCTCTTACTCACATGACTCTGCCTGCCATGAAAGCGGGGGTCATGACTGGAATCTCACTGCTGAATGATCCGAACCTGGCACCCAGTCTAGGCCAAAGGATGGATGCCACTGGTGTTTTCTGAACAGATCAATGAGTCAGTCAAGAAATGGAGTGGATGAATGAACGAAAGAAAGCGCTCTTTCTATACTCACTTGATCCATTTATTTCCCCTCCCATACAACAAGGATTCCCTTGTCGCAGCCCCAAGAGTCTGCCCTTGCATGCCTCACATGACGGGGAACTCACCACCTTTCAAGATAGCCTATTTCCTGTTGGGGCAACTCTGATCAGAGAGTATTTCCCTGAGCTGGCCTTGTCCCTCGCCCCTCCCCAGGAGAGAGGAAAGAAGAGGGAGGCAGAGGAGGGAGCCCTGAGTCCCCATGGTCCACAGAGCTTGTGTCTGGTGAGTGCTGAGAGCAGTTGGAGGGACTCCAGAGCTCCAGAAACCCCTTGGCTCTCTTTGTGCCTGGCCCAGCTAAAGTCCCAGGGTGGGCGGGGGCAAGGCACTGTCCTGCTCTGCCCAGGGCCCAGCTGGGGCAGGGCCAGCGCGCCAGGAGGTCCGCAGGGGCAGAGAAAGCAACCGGGCGGGAGCGGAGCTGGGGCAGGACAGGTGGTCTGTGCTGTTTCCATGGCTCCGGTGCCTCTGCCTGCCTAGCTGGCCTGGGAAAAACAAGCCAGGCACTGAGCAAACAGCGCCTGTGACCGCCCTGGACAAAGGCTGGGCTGTTTAGGCAACCCGGCAGCCAAATGGGCCTCCCTGGTGGAACATCGGTTTAGACTAGGCCCGTCAGAGCTGAGCTGCCAGGCCTCACAGCCTGTCCCTTGGGTCTCTGGGGAACAAGCTAGGGCTGGCGGTGGGGGGGCGGCGACAGAGAGTGGAGGGGCGGGGCTGGGAGGGCCGGGGCAGGCAGTACCCCAGTTCTGCCCTCTGGGCACACAGCTCCCTTGCCCAGCCATTCAGGAGAATGAAGACAGCACAAGCTCAGTAGATAAAGGAAGAGGGTTTCTCTGTTCAGCCGCAGTGACTGGAGCTCAGTAGCCGCATACCCCGTGGGCCTCCCACCCTCCCAAGGGGCTCCCCTAAAGAGTGGCCAGTCCTGTGCCCACGTGTGAAGGATATTTTTACTGCTACTGTGGACAGATGCTGTCTTTGGCCCCAAGCCAGGCAAACCCAGAATGCCAGAGAGCAGTGCGGGAGGCGGTCCTCCCCGGGAAGGGGAGGGGCTGGGGACAAAAGCCCTCTACGGGGGCAACTCAGAGGGCTGCCCTCCTGGCTCTGGCTCCTGAGACAGAGCCCAGGCCCAGGTGGTGGCTGGCTCTGCCAGTAGAATGCACTGGACTGGCCGAGGCCCTCCCTCCCGGGGCCCCCCACCCCCGCACGTGATTGCTGTGCTGACATGAATCTTTGCTCTAGGCTGTCTTCTGGGGAGACCCAGAGTGGGACAGGAGCTCAGGGAGAGGCCTCTGCCAGTACATGGGTCACCATGGCATCTGTCATCCTGGAACTCAGAGGCAGAGATGACGGGACCCTGTTATCCCAATCATTGTGACTCTGCAGCGTGGGAAGCTGAGGGGCACTGAGCGTACAAGGACCCGGAGCTGAGGGACTGGGCTGGTCTGCAGGGGATTTTAAGGAGAAAGGAGACAGAGAAGGGGCCCAGGCCAAGGGGTGCTGTCTACAGAGCAGCCCCCAGGTCTGCAGAAACCCCCTTGTCTGTGTCCCCAAGGGCTCCCAGGCAGCGGCGTTCCCAGCACCCTTCCCTCTGCCCCTTCCCCACTTGAGGCTGGACTACTCGCCTGCCTGCCGGGGAATTCATGGGGTCTCAGCCACACAGCCTGGGGGCAGCTGAACGCTATGCCGAGCTGGCAGCCATGTGGGCCCCCAAAAGCTCAAACCAGCAGGAAGTCAGTTAGCGCTGCCCTAGAGTCAACGCTGGGGACGGAGGGAAAGGACACAGGGGTGGGGAGGGGCAGCAACTGGACCCTGTGCGTGCCTGACCCCATGCGTGCTCTGCAGCTCGAAGGGACACAGCTGGGCTGAGTTAAGTAGAATGGGCCAGGCCTTGTGCTCCGGATCGGATGGGGCTGACCCAGGGAAGCCAGGACCTTTGGGCCAACCCTGAAGGGGCCACAAGTGAGGGCTGTGTGCCCAGGAGGGAGTTCCGAGATGCGGGGCAGAAGGAGGGAACCCACAGGTGGGCACTGCCCCAGGGCCTCCTTCTTGTCCCACGGCCCCGGGTGTCCTGCAGCCCCGCACTCGGCCTCCTTCTGGGGGTCTGTGCCCATCCCCACCCCCTTGCCCTCATCTGCCCAAACCCACCACGCCTTGGGGCCTTCTCTTGGGGCTTCCTAGCCTCCACCGCGCTTTGCCCACCTCTGCCCTCATCACCCAGGAGGCCTTCCCCGGCCTCAGGCTCCACAGCCTTTCACCGGCCTCCCGGCTGCTGGCAGTGAAATTTATAGGGGGCTCCCTCCAGGCCAAGGGTGCGTCCGTCTCCTCCGTGGCAGCGTCCGTGACCCTGCGCGGGGCCCTGGGTGAACACATGGGCTGAATGAATGAAGGAATGAATGAGTGCATGAGGGACACATGAGCACATGAATGAGGGAATGGCACTGGGGGTCCGTGAACAGCTTGGTTGCCTGCATTGAAGACGGTGGAGGCTTTTCGTCCCGGTCCAAGCGTGGAGGCCTCTGTAGAAACCCGCCCTGCGGCCCCAGGAGGGCGGAACTCCGAGCACCAGCGCAGAAAATGGCTTTGAACTCTGGGAGGAGGAAAGAAGTGCCCCCGCCCAGGGAGGACAACCGCCCTGGACACTCCCAGGAAAGGTCGCTGGGGGGCAGAGCTGAGCGGCTCCGCGGCCCCGGATCCCCGAAGGGCAGCCCCGGGTGAGTCAGGGCCTGAGTCAGCGCCCTGCGCGTTCCCAGCGGCCCCGGGAGCCCGCCCGGCCCCGCTCCGCGTTGGAACCTGCACTTTCCGGGAACTCGGACCTCCCCCAGGACGCCTTCCCAGGCGCCACCGGGCCCCGCGGATCGTCGCCGTCCAGGGGCGGGGCGGGGCGGGGCGGGGCGGGGCGTGCGAAAGTCAGGCCCGGAACCCGGGCAAGTCGCTGCGGTGCCCCCTGGCTTCCCGGCGGGCGTGCTGCACCTCTGCGCCCCCAGACCCTGCGCCCCCTCCGCACTCGCGCCTGCTCCTCCGGGCCTGCCCGTTCCCTCGGCCTCCTTGGGACCCTCCCTCTGTCTCCGCTTCTGCCGCCGCTCCCTTCCCTGGTAGGGGACCCCGCCCTTGGCGCCACGCCCACTCCACCCGCGGCCACCTTCCCGCCCTCCGTCCCACGCCGGGCCTTCGGGACGGGCTCTACCCCGGCCGGCCCCCGGCACAGGCCTCGGCCCCCTCCACCGAAATGGCGGCAGCCAGCTCCCTCCTGCCGCACCCCGTGGCAGCCGGCTCCGTGCCTGGCGGGCCCGCCCACCCGTGTCTCGCGTGGCACCCACGGCGCTGTTCCTGTCCCGCCTCTCTTCCCGTGACCTCACCCGGCTCCAGACTCATGTTTACGCCCTCAGCCCTGCCCAGCCTGGACCCCACGTCCCCTCCAATATTTCTTCTTTCTTTTTTTTTTTGAGACGATGTTTCGCTCTTGTCGCCCAGGCTGCCTTGCAGTGGCGTGATCTCAGCTCACCGCAACCTTCGCCTCCCGGGATCAAGCGATTCTGTTGCCTCAGCCTCCCAAGTAGCTGGGCTTAACCGGCACGAGCCACCACGCGCAGCCAACTTTGTATTTTTAATAGAGACCCGGTTTCAGCATGTTGGTCAGGCTGGTCTCAAACTCCTGACCTCAAGTGATCCACCCGACTCACCCTCCCAAAGTGCTGGATTACAGGTGGACCGTGCGGGGTGAGGGTGGGGGTCCTCTCCAGCATTTCTGAGGCCAGCTGCCCAGAGAGGAGGGCTACGTGGAGAGGATGGGGCCAGCAGCAGCAGGCATGGACTATGGGACTGGCAGCAGGTATGAGCCTCGGCCGGCTCTGGCTAGCCTACGTCCACCCAGCTGCAGGACCTCCACCCCCAGCCTCCTGCAGCAGCCCCACATCTCCATGGTGTAACCCTGCTGGGATCAAGAACACCTCCCCTAATGTCCCAACCTGTGGGAGCTGAGCCGCAGCACTGGCCACTTCTGGACAGAGGCTGCCTCATGACCTCTGACCTCTGTCTCTCGGGTTGGCATGAGAGAGACTGGACTCCTGCAGGCCTCAGGGCAGAGGCAGATGTCGGCCTCCAGGGATGTCACTGCCCAGAACCCCAGATGCCCCAAGCCATCCGCACTCCCCCACGCACTTTCTCTGCTACAATGACACATACCCAGATCTGAGCCCTCTCACCTGGGCCACTGCCAACGTCCCCTAAGGCCCTACACCCCGCCCCCAGGAGCCCCGAGGATCTTTCCTTTTAAAGATATTCAGACCTCACGGATAAGTCTGCCCAGGCCAGCCCCTCCCCAGTTCCCAGGCCCTACCCTGACAATGGTCACAGCTTCAGAGCAGCTGAAACCTGCTGTGAGTGAAAAATGAGAAGCTGTTGTTTTAATTTTACTTTCTCTGATTACTAATGAGGTTATTTCTTCTCTGTGTAAAAACTTCACTGGTGTTTAATTGGATTTTTGTCTTTTTGTTAATGTATAGGAGTTCCTTTTTTTCCCCCGCCCTGGTGTCTTGCTCTGTTGCTCAGGCTAGAGTCTAGTGTCGTGATCTTGGCTCACCGCAACCTCCACCTCTCAGGTTCAAGCAATTCTCCTGCCTCAGCCTCATGAGTAGCTGGGATTACAGACACCTGCCAGCACACCTGGCTAATTTTTGTATTTTTAGTAGAGACAGGGTTTCACCATCTTGGTCAGGCTGGTCTCAAACTCCTGACCTGGTGATCCGCCCGCCTCAGCCTCCCAAAGTGCTGGGATTACAGGCGTGAGCCACCCCACCTGGCCAGGAGCTCCTTTTGTACTTAAATATATTATGAATTCAAATTCTCATAGATAAAAATTAATGTTTAGAGGCAAAATCATGATTCTCATGCAAATAAAAATTGAACACACCTAAGATTTAATTTAATTCATTTGTAAGGAAACCAGTAAGATGTTAAAACCAGTTCAAAGGAGAATCGGAAAGACAGACACGTAGGCAACAAGGAAAGCTGGAACACATTTGCTTATTGCTGCAAACTGCTTACTATTGTATGGGGCAGTACAGTTTGGGATTATCTTTTCCACGGGACAGAATTCGATTCACTCTCTATGGAGCAAAATTCATTTGCATTCTGTGGGCAGGATCATTGGCCTTATAATTGGTTTTCTATAATTTAACTTCTCCCCTGATAGAGCTGTAAAATAGCTTAGTCCAGCCGGGCGTGGTGGCTCACGCCTGTAATCCCAGCACTTTGGGAGGCTGAGCCGGGCGGATCACCAGGTCAAGAGATCGAGACCATCCTGGCCAACATGGTGAAACCCCGTCTCTACTAAAAAAAACACAAAAATTAGCTGGGCGTGGTGGCGCGTGCCTGTAGTCCCAGCTACTCGGGAGGCTGAGGCAGGAGAATTGCTTGAACCCGGGAGGCGGAGGTTGCGGTGAGCTGAGGTCTCACCACTGCACTCCAGCCTGGCTCCCGGCGACAGAGCAAGACTCTGTCTCAAAAAAAGAAAAAGAAAAAAAAAAATAGCTTAGTCCATAGCAAACAGTTGAAGAAGGACCCCATAGAATCAGATCATTCCCAGTGGGGTCACTAGACAGATGCCACTCAGCATACTGCTGAAGGGACACCCATACTCCCGCAAGCCCATTTCCACGTCTGTGATCACTGGTTTCATCTGTGATTTGTGCTGAGTGTATCTCATTTGCAACCCATATAGAAATGCTCAATATTTTGCAAGTCGACTTAAAGTATTGCTTTTCTTTCTCTCTTTCCTTCCTTCCTTCCTTCTTTTTTTCTTTTGGTTGAGATGGAGTCACCCGGCCTGGAGTGCAATGGTGCAGTCTCACTAGAACCTCTGCCTCCCAGGTTCTAGTGATTCTCCTGCCTCAGCCTCCTGAGTAGCTGGGATAACAGGTGTGTGCCACCGCGGCCAGTTAATTTTTGTATTTTTAGTACATATGAGGTTTCACCGTGTTGGCCCGGCTGGTCTGGAACTCTGACCTCAGGTGATCCGCCTGCCTCAGGCTCCCAAAGTGCTGGGATTACAGGCGTGAGCCACGGTGCCCGGCCTAATTCCTGTATACATCTTATACTTTAGTAGGGCAAGTTCTCACCATCTTGTTTCTTCTTCTCCCAACTAGTCCCGGCTATTCTTGGACATTTTCATTCCCATATGAATTATAGAATCGGCTTGTCACAGAAATCCCATCTCTCTCTTTTAAAAAAGTATATTCCTGAGAGATTTAGTGTCAAGTTTCTTGTGTATTTTCGCATTACCATAAATGGGAGACTTCCGTTCTGTTACATCTTCTAACTCGCAATTGCTGGTGAATAGGAATACTGACTGCACTGATCAGGACCCGATGTCAACCTGACGAATTTTCTCTAGAAGCAGTAGCTTTTACTTATTAGTAGATTTATGGATTTTTTTACTAATAGCTTTAGATACTTTTTTCTCTCTTTCCTAGATATTCTGAAAGTCATTATGACTTACCTTCTAGTGGCATGTTGAGATTTTAATTTTCATTCTTCCATTTGTCCTAGCTGGCATTCACTGAGCACTTCCAGTCTGAGGGCTCACCTCTTCCTTCAGTTCTAGGGATTCCTATTTGATATATCACTAAATATCAATTATCTTTCCTTCTCACTAATATATAGTCTCGGGCCTCTGACTGGATAAATGAGGCAGCCTCTGATTTGCACTCCCTCTTTTTTTTTTTTTGAGACGGAGTTTCGCTCTTGTTGCCCAGGCTGGAGTGCAATGGCGCGATCTCGGCTCACCGCAACCTCCGCCTCCTGGGTTCAGGCAATTCTCCTGCCTCAGCCTCCCGAGTAGCTGGGATTACAGGCACGCGCCACCATGCCCAGCTAATTTTTTGTATTTTTAGTAGAGACGGGGTTTCACCATGTTGACCAGGATGGTCTCGATCTCTTGACCTCGTGATCCACCCGCCTCGGCCTCCCACAGTGCTGGGATTACAGGCGTGTGCACTCCCTCTTTTTAAAGAAGCTACTCGCTGTTCTGTCATAATTTTCCTTATTGGACAAGTCATTATTTTTCTTCCAAACCTTTCATAATTTTTTCTTAGCTCTTCACTTTTAGAAACTTGACTGTGACTTGCCCAGGAGTTACTTTACTCTGCCTCGGGTTTGTTGAGCTTCTTGGCTCTCCAAGGTAATGCTTTCCACTAATACCGAGGAGTTTTTGTTTGGAAAACTCTGCCCCTACCGCAAAAGCTCTCTCTCTCTTTCCCTCCCCCACAAAGAGGCTCCCTTATCTCTCACTTTACATACCGGCCATAGCCCTCCCGCCGCCCAGCTTCCCGCCGCCCAGCTTCCCGCCCAGCAGTTCAAACTGACCAACAGTTGCCCACCACCTCGGCTTTTGGCTTCCCCACCCCCAGCCCTTCAGCCCCCTATAAAACAACCCTGCCCCTTTGAGCGGCGCGGCCATTTTTCCTTTTCGTCCCGGCTGGCCCGCCCGGAGGCTCTTTCCTCTCAATAAAGCCTGAACTTAAGGAATTTCCTCTAGCCTGCGGTCCGGTTTTTTCCGAACGAGCTCAGTCTTCCCGCAGAGGGTAGGTCGGACAAATGGTGCCGGAAACCCGGGACGGGAGCTGAGGCCGTTGGCCCGGCCACGGCCCCCCTCCCCGACCTACCCAACACTGGCCCTGCCACCTCCACGTTCCGATTAAGGTAAGCCAAGTTTTTCTTGCTTTGCCTTCCCCCGCTTCCCGTCTCCTCTTCCTACGGCATGGTGCAGTTGCTCCCTCTCCGGCGTTCCGCACGGACTCCTTGCCTAGTCTCGGCCGAGCCAAGGTAGTCTTCCATTCCGGCTCCAGGAGCCTTCCGAGGGACAGCCGCCAGACGGGGGACGCCCCTCTGACCGCTTCCCTTTCCGTACTTAATTGTACTCCGGGGAATTTGCAACGAACGGGGACGCCTTTTCGTTGCATCTGCCCATCCGCGCCGGAGAGTCTGTAGCTGCGCCTGCCATGGGAAATTCGGAGTCCAAAATACCTCTGAGCACCCCCCTTGGGTGCTTGCTGCGAATTTTACCAAATTGGGATATTCCCAAACCCTCAGAAAGAAAAAGCTTATCTTCCTGTCTCAGGTGGCTTGGCCCCAATACAAACTCAGTAACCAGTCACATTGGCCCCCGACTGGCACTTTTGATTTCAACACCCTCCGAGATCTCGACGATTTTTGTCGCCGCGCGGGCAAGGACAATGAAATTCCTTACGTCCAGGCTTTTTGGGACCTCCGTACCCACCCCAACCTATGTTCTTCCTGCTCCACCTACCAAATCCTCTTATCTCGAACCCCCCGTAAATCTTCCTCCACTACCTCTCCCCCTCCCTACTCCTCACCGGAGGATCTGCCTGAACATCTGTCCTCTCCTGCCAATCTCAGCAACCACTCGCCATCAACGGCACGCCCTTCCCCCACTCCCTCTGCACCTCCTACCTCAGAGGCCATGCCTCGCTCTCCCTCTACTCCCTCCGAGCCCCCTCCCTCAGAGGCCGCACTTCCTCTTGCCTCTCCGGTGGCGGCCCACACCCGCTCCCACCAGCCAACTATCCTGGCCCCACTCCGAGAAGTAGCAGGCGCAGAAGGTTTAATCAGGGTCCATGTTCCTTTCTCACTCCAAGACCTGTCCCAAATTGAGCAACGTTTAGGATCCTTCTCAGCCAACCTGTCCACCTATATTAAAGAATTCCAATACCTCACTCAAACATAAGAAGCCCTAGTCCGGTACACTCGACTAGATCCAGCTCCCAAAACGGGGCCACTGTATTAGCCTCCCACTTTATCTCCCAATCAGCACCCGACATAAGAAAGAAACTAAAGAAAGCAGAAGAGGGGCCAGAGACTCCCATCCAAGACCTGGTAAAAATGGCCTTTAAAGTATTCAATGCCAGGGAAGATGCGGCTGAGGCTGCCCGCCAAACTCGCATGAAGCAGAAGGCTGCCCTCCAGACCCAAGCCCTAGTGGCGGCTCTAAGGCCGGCAGGGAACCAGAAGCCCAAGGCCGAAACCCATGCCCCTCCAGGGGCATGTTTCAAATGTGGAAAGGAAGGACACTGGTCCCGAGCCTGTCCACAACCATGGCCACCAACTAAGCCTTGCCCTATCTGTCGGCTCCCGGGACACTGGAAGTCAGACTGCCCCAGCTTCCCCAGGGTGCCGGTTCCTCAAAACAGACACACTGGCGTTACGCAGCCGGCGGTCACCCTCAGTAGGGAGGAGCCTGCTTGCCAGGAGCCGACCTCCGAGGGAGCTCCATTCCCCAGTCTACTAGGGCTGCTAGATGACTAGCGGGGCCCTGGCTTTCCGACTCCGGTTACCCTCGCCGAGCCTAGGGTCACAAGACATGGGGGCTACCTACTCCGCTCTTCCTTCTTATTCTGGCCATCTCACCCCTTCCCAGGTCTTAGTCATGGGAATCGATGGGACCCCAAGTATCCCCTACCAAACCCCACATTCCCTAGGCCGAAACGTCCCTAGCTGTAACAGAACTATACGGGTAACCACTAATATAACAGCCCCACGAGGAACGTTTTTCGGGTGTAACAAGACCTTAACAAAAACTCTCTACATTGGCCTTTCCTCATCTCTTTTATGCCTCCCGGTAACCCTAGTCCCTTGACTCACTATATATTCCCCAGCCGAATTCCAGATGCTGCAAACTCCCCATCGCTGCACCCGATGAGCTGCCTTCCTACCCATTGCCGTTGGAGTCTCCCTTGCTGGTTCAGCACTTGCAGCAGGATTAGGAGGAGGGGCACTAGTCCACTCTCACCTGGCCATAGCCCGACTGACCTCACAACTCCAAGCGGCTATTGATGACTCTACTGAGTCTTTAGCATCACTCCAACGACAGATCACCTCAGTTGCCCAAGTTGCCTTGCAGAACCGAAGAGCCCTGGACCTGCTCACTGCTGAATGAGGAGGGACCTGTATCTTCCTACAGGAAGAGTGCTGTTACTACATCAATGAATCCGGCCTAGTAGAAACCCGAATCGAGAGCCTCCAGAAACTCAAAACTAACCTCTAGAGTCAGAAGTTCTCGGCTGAAGCCACAGCGTGGTGGTCTTCCTCTATGTATACCCTCTTGTCACCATTGCTTGGGCCCCTAGTAGCTGTTTGCCTAATCTTACTTATTGCTCCTTGCTTTCTACAGTTCCTATAGCGGCGCTTTCAAGAACTGACTCGAGTCACCATCCACCAGATGCTGCTCCAACCCTACCCTGAACGAGTGCAAGAAACAGACCTCTCCCCGAACATCCAGGCTCCTTAGGAAAAGAAACCTCTTCAGAACCCCCCCGTCGACCCTTGTCAGCAGGAAGTAGCCAGAGAGACAACCGACGCCCCTGACCCCCTCTTTTTCTTTTCTTTAAGGAGTCGGGAATGTTTGGAAAACTCTGCCCCTACCGCAAAAGCTCTCTCTCTCTTTCCCTCCCCCACAAAGAGGCTCCCTTATCTCTCACTTTACATACCGGCCATAGCCCTCCCGCCGCCCAGCTTCCCGCCGCCCAGCTTCCCGCCCAGCAGTTCAAACTGACCAACAGTTGCCCACCACCTCGGCTTTTGGCTTCCCCACCCCCAGCCCTTCAGCCCCCTATAAAACAACCCTGCCCCTTTGAGCGGCGCGGCCATTTTTCCTTTTCGTCCCGGCTGGCCTGCCCGGAGGCTCTTTCCTCTCAATAAAGCCTGAACTTAAGGAATTTCCTCTAGCCTGCGGTCCGGTTTTTTCCGAACGAGCTCAGTCTTCCCGCAGAGGGTAGGTCGGACAGTTTTCAACCATTATTCCCTCAAATTTATTTTGCCCCGATGTCTCTCTCCTCTCCTTCTGGGACTCAATTACATGTACTTGTGCTGCTTGGTACTGTCCAAGAGAACACTGAAGTTCTCTTCTTTTTTTTTTTTTGAGACGGAGTTTCGTTCTTGTTACCCAGGCTGGAGTGCAATGGCGTGATCTCGGCTCACCGCAACCTCCGCCTCCTGGGTTCAGGCAGTTCTCCTGCCTCAGCCTCCTGAGTAGCTGGGATTACAGGCACGCGCCACCGTGCCCAGCTAATTTTTTGTATTTTTAGTAGATACGGGGTTTCACCATGTTGACCAGGATGGTCTCGATTTCTTGACCTCGTGATCCACCCACCTCGGCCTCCCAAAGTGCTGGGATTACAGGCGTGAGCCACCGCGCCCGGCCTTTTTTTTTTTTTTGAGATGCAGTCTTGCTCTGTCACCCAGGCTGAAGCGCAATGGCACAATCTCGGATCACTGCAACCTCCATCTCCCAAGTTCAAGCAATTCTCCTGCCTCAGCCTTCCAAGTAGCTGGGATAACAGGTGCCTACCACCACGCCTGGCTCATTTTTGTATTTTTAGTAGAGATGGGGTTTCACCATATTGGCCAGGCTGGTCTCGAACTCCTGACCTCAGGTGACCCACCTACCTTGGCCTCCCAAAGTGCTGGAATTACAGGCATGAGCCACTGCACCCAGCCTTTTTACTCCGATTCTATTTCTCTCTTTTCTTTGAGTTAAATATTTTCTGCTGATTCGTCTTCAAAGTTACTGATCCTGTGTTTTCCTGCCATTTCCAGAACTGGGGCCCATCTAGTAAATTTTTAAAATTGCATTACTGTTCGTTTCAGCTCTAGAATTCTCATTGATGTTTCCATTTGTCTGTGCAAATTCTCTGTCCGCTCATTGACATCATATTTTCCTATAATTCCTCCAACATATTTTCCTATGAACCTGTATTTTTTTTAATTCTTCAAATGTATTTATAACATTTGAAGATGCTTTGAAGTCTATACCCGCCAAATCTAAATTCTGGGCTCAGAGATTACACCTGTTAGCTTCCTTTATGAAACACATTTTCCTATTTCTTTGTCTAGTAATTTTTGGTTGAAAACTGGGTATTGTAGCTAATGTATCAGTAGTGGAATCATGGAAAACCAGCCAGGGCCAAGGACTCCAGGAATGACAGGTGCGGCAGAGTAGGGAACCGAACCCGTCCCAGAGTTCATCAGAGCTTTCACGCTGCCACTTCCTCTGCCCAGTCTCCCTCACTATTCTTCTCCCCAAATTTGTTTCATTGTGCTTAAGCATCACCCCCTTAGGGTAGTCTTTCCAGTAATCCTGGCCAGGTTAGGACCCCTGGTTAAACACATTTATAAGCACTTTCTACAACTGCAGCAACTGTGAACGTGTTCGTGTACTTTGTCCTGTAATGTCTATCTACGGTACTACACTGGAAGGGAAATGAAAGCAGGGACACTGTGCGTTGCTACCACGTGCCTGAGGCAAAGAGGAGCTTAGGAAATACTTGTTTAGTGAATTCATGTTGCCCACTTTGCCTCAAGGACATTTTCAGAATTTTCTGTCTCACCAGAACACACGAGAATGTTCATTCCCTGAACACTCCCTGGTACTCACAATTTTTTTGCAAGTATTTTTGATGATCTTTTAAAGCGCTTTTCCAATCTAATAGCTGAACATTGTATCTTAGTCTAATCTGGATCCTTTGACATTGAACATTTTTTCACATTTGTATTGGCGATTTGAAGTTTCTCTTCTGTAAGTTTCCTTCCCATGTCATTTGCAAATATTTTGTCTTACTTCGTTAACGAAGAGACTTTCACATGTTACTGATATGGTCTGGTTCTGTGTTTCCACCCAGATCTCATCTTGAATTGTAATCTGAACTGTAGGAATGTCATGGGAGGTGATTGGATTATGGGTGGTTCCCCCGTGCTGTTCGCATAATATTGAGTGAGTTTTCACAGTATCTGATGGTTTTACAAGGGCTTCTTCTCCCCTCACTTTGCACTTCTCTGCTGCCTTGTGAATGAGGTGCCTGCTTTCCCTTCGCCTTCCCCCATGATCCTAAGTTTCCTGAGGCCTCCCCAGCCATGTGTAACTTGAGTCAATTAAACCTCTTTCCTTTATAAATTACCTAGCCTTGGGCGGGCACAGTGGCTCACGCCTGTAATCCCAGCACTTTGGGAGGCCAAGGTGGGTGGATTACTTGAAGTCAGGAGTTCGAGACTAGCCTGGCCAACGTGGTGAAACCCTGTCTCTATTAAAAATACAAAAATTAGCCAGGCGTGGTAGCGCATGCACCTGTTGTCTCAGCTACTCTCGAGGCTGAGGCAAGAGAATCACTTGAACCTGGGAGGTGGAGTTTGCAGTGACCCGAGATTGCACCACTGCTTCCCAGCCTGGGCGACAGAGTGAGACGTCACCGCTGCCTCCCGGCCTGGGCGACAGAGTGAGACTTCATCTCAAATAGAGTAAATAGATAAATAAATAAATAAATTACCTAGTGTTGGGTATTTCTTTGTAGCAGTGTGAAAATGGACAAGTACAGTTATATTAGAACTATTTTGACCAGTACATAGTTTTCCCCAGTTTGTTGTCTGCCTTTCTACTCTGCTGATACTGTTTCTTCCTGTGCATGGAAACAAACTGTACATCTACCCTCCATTCTTTCCTTTCTCGCCCTGATGTGAGTCTCACTGTTTAGAAAGATATTTCTTGGCCGGGTGCGGTGGCTCACGCCTGTAATCCTAGCACTTTGGGAGGCCGAGGTGGGTGGATCACCTGAGGTCAGGAGTTCGAGACCAGCCTGGCCATGGTGAAACCCCATCTTTAAAAGAATAAAATAAAAATAAAAAAAAGAAAGATATTTCTCAACCTCAAAATTAGGTAAATATCTATGTATACTTTCTCCTGGTGTATTTATGATTTCTTTTTTGTTTTTAACCTTAAGATTCTTAACCCATCTCAAATTTATGTTGGTGCAAGAAGAGAGACACGGATCTAATTTCATTTCATCTTTCTCAATGGTTGCCTGTTGCTCCATCAATTCCTTCTGTTAAAAAAAAAAATATATATATATATATATATATATATATATGTATTCCCAAGCAAGCTGGGCTCCACAGTACATGCCTGTGGTCCCAGCCACGCAGGAAGCCAAGGTGGGAGGATCACCTGAGTCCAGAAATTCAAGAGCAGCCTGGGCAACACAGCAAGAGCCCATCACTAAAATATATCCCGTACCTTTACCTCTTTCTAGATGTTCCATTCTGTCTGTTGATCTACCTGCTCCAGTGACAGCCCTGTGAGGTTCTGAAAGTGTTTGCTCTAGAATTCACTTGACGATCTGATATTAAGTCGCACTGGAAATTATTGATTTAGCTAACATTTACTGAGTCACGATTTGAGCCCAACACTGTCTAGGAGCTGAGAGCACAGCGGTGAATGAGGCAGACACGAGACTTCTGTTTTCGTGGAACTTATCTTCTGTTCAGACACCTATTGCTCATTCCTTCAAAAGCTGGTGAACAGGCGGGGCACGGATCACGAGGTCAAAAGATCAAGATCATCCTGGCCAACAAGGTGAAACCTTGTCTCTACTAAAAATATAAAAATTAGCTGGGTGTGGTGGCATGCACCTACAGTCCCAGCTACTTGGGAGGCTGAGGCAGGAGAATCACTTGAACCCAGGAGGCGGAGGTTGCAGTGAGCCAAGATCATGCCATTGCACTCTAGCCTGGTGACAGAGCGAGATTCCATCTCAAAATACAAACAAACGATAAAACAGAATCTGGCGAACAGTAAGTGGCAAGTGCTCTTCAATGCCAAAGGGTGGGAGACCAACCCTGGCGTGTGGTGCTGTGTCCCCCATACTAAGAATTCAAAGGTCCAGGAACCAAGGGAAAGGCTTAGGTCCCGGAGGAGAGACTGGCTTCTCTCACCCGTCCCACATCCTCTGACTTTGTTAAGTTCGAGGTCCCGGAGCCCACAGGGAGATTCTGCCACCAGGTGACAAACTACAGGTCTTGAGGCTTCAGTGACCTCTTGGTCGTTTTGGCTTCTTCATGCCAGTGGACCAACAGGCAAAGAAAGGAGTCACCAGCCTGGCAGAGTCATTGGCCCTGACCTCAAGAGAAGTCCCGCTCAGAGCCAGATGATTCACTGCAGTGCCTCTGGGCACTTCCAAGGTGGCCCCAGCAGGGACCTGGCAATGGCAGCAGCCACAGCCAGCAAGGGCAAATGCAACTGAGGGCTCGGACCCCCGGAGAGATAGGCAAGGGCCCCACAGCAGCCCGTGGAAGTGCTCTTCTGGAATGGTGGCGGAGGATCGAGATGACCGAGATCCATCTCGGCCTCAGACCAGCTGCATAGTGGAGAGTGTGACTCCTCCCACTAATCATCTTGTCTTCAAACTTGCAGAGCTTGCTGTGGCCGCCACCTTGAAGAGAACTCCGTGGCAGACTAGGCGTCATCAAGGGCACACGCAGCCGTGAGGGAGGCACCAGACCCCTGTGATGCACAGCTTCAAGGTCTCAACCCCGGCTCCTCCATTCCCACCACAGACGGTCTTCAGTGGCTTCGTCCAGCCTCGGGTGGGTGCCGGCAGCCACACGATGCCTTGCCTTGGGCCCGCGCTGGAGATCTCTTGCTTCCTGTGCAGGTGCTTCTCTGAACATTCGACTCAGGGCTCCTCGTGGAACCCACTCATGAGTCTGCAGTCACACTCATGCAACCTGGGAATGCTGGAAGGTTAAGGTCTACGGAGCCGCCCCGGCTGCTGACACGTTGAGCCGATGGAGAAATCTTCTCAGTTCATGAGTGAACAGTTCTGAGATAAGCCTCGCGAGATCCCCGGAAACCCCCACCGGAGCAGGTACGGGCCTCCTGCAGCCGCGGCTGACTTGACCATTTCCCTGAGATCTCACGTCCAGCCGAAATGTCTGCAGGCAAGTCTTTGTCTCAAGCTTTGCTTCCAAGCAGACTAAGGTACGTGCCGTTGTGGCAGGACTGCGCACAGAAAATGAACTCGCAGATTTAAATAAGTGTAGTAAGTGTTATGGGGAAATAATACGGGGTGGTGCTATGGGATTGTAGCTCTGGATTTGTGCCATCTAACATGGTAGCCACTAGCCATGTGTGACTATTTAAATATAAATGCAGGCTGGGCGCAGGGTGGTGGCTCATGCCTGTAATCCCAGCACTGTGGGAGGCCAAGGCAAATAGATCATTTGAAGTCGGGAGTGCAAGACCAGCCTGGGCAACATGGTGAAACCCCATCTCTACTAAAAATACAAAAAATTAGCTGGGCGGTAATGGCATGCACCTGTAATCCCAGCCACTCGGGAGGCTGAGGCAGGAGAATCACTTGAGCCTGTGAGGCAGAGGTTGTGGTGAGCCAAGATCACGCCACTGCACTCCAGTCTGGGGGACAGAGACTCTGTCTCAAAAATGGATAAATAGTCCGGGCACAGTGCCTCCCACCTGTAATCCCAGCACTGTGGGAGACCAAGGCAGGTGGATCACCTGAGGTTGGGAGTTTGAGACCAGCCTGGTCAACATGGCAAAACCCCATCTCTACTAAAAATACACAAAATTAGCTGGGTGTGGTGGCAGATGCCTGTAGTCTCAGCTACTCAGGAGGCTGAGACAGGAGAATTGCTTGAACCTGGGAGGCGGAGGTTGCAGTGAGCCAAGATAGCGCCACTGCACTCTAGCCTGGGCGACAAGAGCAAAACTCAATCTCAAAAATAAATAAATAAACACATATAAATGCAAATCAGTTAAAAGTCAATGAAATTTGAAATGTAGCTCCTGGATCACACTGGCCACATTTCGAGTGTCCAGCAGTTCCATGCATCTGGTGGCTGCCTCACTGCAAAGTCCAGCTACAGAACATTTCAAGCCTCACAGAAAGGTCCGCTGGTCAGTGCCGCTGCGAGTCATCTGGCCGATGCCTGCTGCTTTGTACTAGATTCTAAGCACAGAGTCACAGTGTCGAGATCTGGCTAATTTTACTTTCTGTCTGTAGAAAGTAGCACAGAGACCAGCACAGAAGCAGACAGTCAAGTTTGCAGAAAGCAGGCAGGAAGGGAAAGAGGGAGGAAGAGAGAGACGGGAGAGATGCAGGAGCAGGAGAAAGGAGGAAAGAAGGAAGGGAAGGAGGGAGGGAGAGAGAGACGGGAGAGATGCAGGAGCAGGAGAAAGGAGGAAAGAAGGAAGGGAAGGAGGGAGGGAGAGAGAGACGGGAGAGATGCAGGAGCAGGAGAAAGGAGGAAAGAAGGAAGGGAAGGAGGGAGGGAGAGAGAGACGGGAGAGATGCAGGAGCAGGAGAAAGGAGGAAAGAAGGAAGGGAAGGAGGGAGGGAGAGAGAGACGGGAGAGATGCAGGAGCAGGAGAAAGGAGGAAAGAAGGAAGGGAAGGAGGGAGGGAGAGAGAGACGGGAGAGATGCAGGAGCAGGAGAAAGGAGGAAAGAAGGAAGGGAAGGAGGGAGGGAGAGAGAGACGGGAGAGATGCAGGAGCAGGAGAAAGGAGGAAAGAAGGAAGGGAAGGAGGGAGGGAGGGAGGGAGGGAGGGAGAGAGAGAGGGAATGAGGAAGAAAGGAAGCTCCCAGCCCATCCACGTGGAGCAGTTTGCAGCTGGGGCCTCAGGCCTGGCAGGTCAGGGTGCGGAGGGAGGGAGAGTCTAGGGTGCTGGTGTTTACTAAGCACTCACTCTGTGCCCGGCACCTAATTCTTAAATCCCTGCAGTTTTCACATTATACCCTATGGCTGTTATTCGATTTCACAGGGGAGGAGACTGAGGCCAGAGAGGTGACACAGCTTGTTCAGGCCCATGGGACCCTGAGTGGCGAACCAGGGTCAAGCCAGGCAGGCGGCTCCAGGCCTGGTTCCTTCCCCTCGCACCACTGAGGTCACAGGTGGGAGGATGCCGAGTGTCCACATTTCCTACCGTCCCTCCTGGGCCCAGAGACCTCAAAGACCTTGCCAATACCCTCTGGCCAGCCCCCACCAGCCCTGCCAGCTGCCCACTGAGCCAGCCCCTCTGCCTAACGCCCAGCCCTGGGGCGGTGGCAGCCAAAGGGGCAGGTCACACTGCTGCCAGCTGGAGCCCAGGCGGCCGAACCACGCAGAAGCCCTGCCCCTGATGTCAGCACCACCAGAGCCTCCTCATTAACCGCCCAGGGTGACACAGCCCAGCTCTTCTGCATGGGATGTGTGGGGGACTCACCGAGCCCCAGGTGTTTGCAAGAAGCTGGGATGGAAAGTCTGACTTGCTCCTTCCCAAGCGTGGGATGGCTTTTCCATTGCTAATTTCTGAGGAATCCGGTGAAGTAGTGGAAAGACCGAGAAGGCGGGAGACTGGGTCTCACCCTGGCCCATCCTGGCTTTAGATAAGAACCGCAGAGCCTCAGTCTCCCCTTCTGTTCACCAGAAACCAGGGCCCTGTCCAGCTCCGACTCTCCAAAGTGCCCAGGTGTGAGTGAGGCTGACACAGTCGCCTTGGGGCTGCAGCCTTTAAAGCTTTTGTTTGTTTTTTTTTTCCAAACGCGTCTTTGGGAGTGAGGATCCATCAATCATGACTTACACATTTCGTTTCAGAAGTTATATTTCACTAGCAGGAGTACAAAGGACTTGAGAACTGGATCTCCCTCCCCAGTCGCCCTCAGGATGTCCCAGCCTTGCCCCTGGAGCAGTCAGACATCCAATAAAATGAGGGCTTGGACGCTGTGCGCTGGTCGCCAGAACTGACTGTGCACCAGGTCTGCTTTCTCCGCACCCACCCTGGGAGACTGGTACTGTTGTTATTCCCATTTTATAGCGATTCTACCTCCCTGCCAGAATTAGAGCAACCCTTCACCATCCCTTCCTCCAGGAAGCCTTCCCTGACTCCCAAGTCTGAGCCAAGGTCCTTCCCAGGTGTCCTCCAGACTGGGAATAGGTGGATAGGAGTGCACTGTCCAGTGTGTCCAGCCACATTGAGGCTTCCCTCCCCTCTTTTGGTTTTGCACACACTGAGAGCGGCAGCCTTGTCAGTAGGGCCCAGCTGCCACTCAGCCAGCCCCTGATGGGTGCACCCTGTATGCTTCCTACCCTGATATTAGGGGCCCTTGGCGAGGACCTGATGCCATGCAGCTCACAGGCCTCTGGCTTTTGGGGCCAGAATCAAACTGCCCATCTCTTGTGCAACCAGCTGCTCCTTAAAGGCGCTCAAATCTTGGGACTGAGAAATTAGTGGACTCCTAGCCTGCAACTCCTTAGGAGTTCAAGGCAGGCATTTTTTAAAAACTCACCCTCTTCCCCCATCTCATTTTCCCACCCTGACATTTCCTTTAGCTGGACCGACTTCCATATTTTATTTTAAGGTTGGTGTCTCTAGTCCTGCTGGGCACCGTGAGGCAGAATGTCTGAATGCAGGAAAACTGGACAGTTTGCCCAAGGAAGAGACTTCTTGAGAGTGAATTCTGAGTGTCCTTCCTCTTTCAGAATGTTCCATCTCCCTGAGTGCTCCCTACCCTGGGATGCTCCCTCTCCCGGAGTGCTCCCTCTCTCTGAGTACACCCTGCACCCTCTCCCTTGGATGCTCCCTCTCCCGGAGTGCTCCCTCTCTCTGAGTGCTCCCTCTCTCTGAGTGCACCCTGCACCCTCTCCCTTGGATGCTCCCTCTCCCTGCAGTGCTGCCTCTCATTTGAGTGCTCCCTCTCCCTGAGTGTTCCCTCTCCCTAAGTACAACCTCTCCCTGAGTGTTCTCTTTCCCTGCAGTGCTCCCTCTCCATGAGTGCTCCCTCTCCCTGCAGTGCTCCTTCTGCCTGGAATGCTCCCTCTGCCTGCAACTTTGCCTGGAGTGCTCTCCACTCTCTTCTGATGAGAAGCTACTCCTCCTCCTTGAGGCTCAACTCAGGCAGCCACCTCCCAGGAAGCCTTCCTGGACTCCTCCACTGCCTCCTCTGTTCTCCCACACACATGCCCACCCCCCATGCCTCCTTTCTCACCACACTCACCGTCTGTGTTTTTATCCCTCCCCACCTCTCCTGCCTCTAGCCAGGCTCTGGGCCCCCAAATGGCAGACCAGGGTCTCATGCCTTTGGGGAGGCAGGGGTCTGTACCATTGTGTAGCCCAAGGAGGCATCTGTGAGTCAGCTGCTGAAATCCAGTAATGCCAGCCACCCTGTACCTCATCTCCATCCTTGAAAGGGTGATCTTATTCATTTATATCTGGGGAACCTAGAAGGATGCTTAGAGAGCATCTCTACAACCTGCTCTTTTAACTCTGGGGAAACTAAGGCCCAGACAGGGAGCATCTTGCCCAGTGTCACCTTCTCTAAACCTCTTCCTCCTGTCCTGAGCCCTTGCCATGGCAGAGCTGAGCTCCCCAGCACCTTGGCAGAAATGAACCTGAGTGCATGCTCCCCACCCACACAGGTGAGCGCATGCGCAGGAACCCTCACTGCCTCCGCAAGATGGGCAGGCAGGGCTCACAGACCCTTAATCAAGTGAGGATACCGAGTCTCCGGAGGACAAGTGACGAGCCTACAGTCAGCTTCAAGGCTGGGACTTCAGACTCTGGGTTGTGGCTGTCTCCTGTCGAAAATGTGCCCAATCCAAATTCACAGAAGGTGCTCGAATCGCCTGCCTACCTGGCATGTGTGCTTTTTCTGTCTCGTCTGTTCAGACCATGTTTAAGCAGGTAGGGATGGATGCCGCAGGACCCACATGTGGGCCTGGCACCTTTCTGGGCTAGTTTAGCACGTCGTAGTTTGCAGCTCTTGGTGATGTCCCTTTCCCTTTGCACATCCCCTGACAGGCCCCAGAAGACCCTGTTGACAAGCTGTTGTCCCTGTGACCGAGACACGCAGCGGCAGGGACTGTGGCACAGCTCAGGAGAACAGTACCATGCAGCTTTTATTTATTTATTTATTTTGAGGCGGAGTCTCGCTCTGTCACCCAGGCTGGAGTGCAGTGGCGTGATCTCGGCTCACTGCAACCTCCGCATCCCTGGTTCAAGCGATTCTCCTGCCTCAGCCTCCTGAGTAGCTGGGATTACAGGTGCGTGCCACCGTGTCCAGCTAATTTTTGTATTTTTAGTAGAGGCAGGGTTTCACCATGTTGGCCAGGCTGGTCTTAAACTTCTGACCTCATGATCTGTCCGCCTTTGCTTCCCAAAGTGCTGGGATTACAGGCGTGAGCCGGCCATCCAGCTTTTAAAAAGGACATTGGTAAGCAGTGGATGACAAATGTTATTTTCCAGGAAAAAGTCAAGACGGTGAATTAAAAGTTCATCCTGAGCTGTGAGGAATAATTTGCCCACGGAAGGAGAGGTGAGGGAGCCTGTCTCCAGGTAGCAGAGCTCTCCCTGGGTGGGACGGTTGTTGGCGGCAGCCTTTATTTCCTTACTGATCATTTATAGGATTTTAAAAAATCAATCTCATAAAAGAAAAATAAGAAGGGCAGGAAGGGGGAAGAGGCAGTCACCTACAAAAGTCTAAGATCTTTTGGACCTGGTCACAAAGGGACGCCCTCCAGGAGGGTCGCCAGGGCCGCGGGGTCCGGGGCTAGGCCGGGGGTCGAGCTCAGCCCAGGCGAACAAGCCGACACACCCGCACACACAGGCTTCCGTGGGCCGCGCCCCGCCGCGCCGGGGGCCGCATTGGCGTTCCGCGCCGTTCCCAGCCCGCGGCGCCGCGCGGGGACAGTGGCGCATTGTTCCCTGGACACGCCGGGCGGTGCAGCGCCCTCGGGGCTTGGCGCGGCCCCGCCGCGATTTGCATGCGCTCCAGTCACAAAGGTTCAAGGTCAGGAGCACCGGGCGGCCCAGCCCCGCCTGGCCCAGGCGCTATTCTTCACCCCGGCGGCGGGAATTCCTCGTCGCCCGCGCCCGGGCCGCCCCTGCGCGTGAATGGCCGAGCGCCGCCACCGTCTGAGGCGCTTTGTGTCTCGGCCCGGCCAGCTGGGCCCGTGAGGGACGTGCCAGCTTGGCCGGCGGCGCCCCCGCGCCAGCGCCCCTCGCCCATGCTAATCAGCCTGGCAGCGCGTCTGGGCGGGCGGCCCAGCCCGGCCTGGGAGCCCCTCACCTTCCCTGCCGGGAGCCCCCTCCTGCCAAGCCCCTTCCCCCAGCTTCCCCTGATGTCAGGAGACCCCACTTACTCTGCCAGGGCCCCCCCCCCATGACCCTAGCTGCCAGGTGCCTCCACCCCATCCGACCTCTACCCCTCCTGCCAGGAGAATCCCTCTCCAGCTGCAGTGAGTGCCCTCTGCCCTGCCAGAAAGGCGGGCACACCTTGCAGGAATGGGTGGCTGGGGAGCCTGGAGACTACCA